ATGATGATGATGATGATGATAGTTTCTGGGAGCTTCTGCCATTTCATTAGCATGAGATACATCCTGCAGCGGCTATGACAAGCATTGGTATTACCATAGGTGTACGTGCGTGAGCTGTTGGGTGCAAGTCTTTCCGCTCTCCCGCTTGCACGATTGGAAGGCCGCAGTCCAGACACACCACAGCAGGGAATGACATGCTGATGGGAATAGCAAGTATTCATCATGCCACGTAGACTCATGCCTAGATGCCAGAATTCCTCCACAATGCTCCGCAAAAGCCCCATGATAGAAGCGGCGGTCATGCAACGCAGGTGCAATACTTCCAGCGATCCCTGTCTGTGGATGATGCAATGTTGGGCCATGTCATGCTGGTCTGGGGCATCTTGTCTGCTGACCCTGCTACAAGTTTGAAGGCTTAGATTTGGGAGTTTTTGAAATAGTTCCTAAATACTCCTTGTGTGGCATCCCTATGGTTATTCTGGATGTGTCACATAATATTCCGGGCGTCCCCAAGAATCTCCCTCCTATTGTGACGAGCCCCCATTTGGCTGTGCTGCAGGGTCGGAGCACTCCTAATGTTGCAATCCCCAAGTTCGAGGCCCTGTGCTGCAAGGTTGAAAAATTGCCGGGTTCAGAGTCTAAAGCCCTAAACCCTAAACCCAGGGGCCCAAAATAAGGGAAACGAAAGAAGATCGTCACCCTCCGGATCCTGGTGCATGACACGCCCTTAGAAGCGGCAAATGTGGGGTCCTTTTGATTTGAAAGTGCTCTTTGGATAATTCAGGGGCATGAAGAGTTAGAGAACCAGCATGGTGTTTAGGGACATCATATGCTCCATTTATACACAGGCATTATAAGTCCAAAGGGGATGCTGTTGAGAATCACTCGCTTCTCCATTACCTTGCGAGCCTAACTCGTGGATCCCAGGCCCTCAGCCCGAAAATCTGAATCCCCTAAACGTGCCAGGCCCAAAACTTTATATGCCTCGACGCCTTAAACGCTAGTAACTATAGAACGGTTCCAATAACACATGTCCTCGGAAGGGGCCGGGCGTCCAGAATACCAGGCATGAATGGTGAAGACCTCAAGCCAGCACATGGCGCCCCCTTGCGGATCATTGTTCCCGGCTGGTACGGCGTCTGGGTGGCAGCTAAGGGGGCGTACCTAGAAACCTCGGGGAGTTTTGGGGAATAGGGGTGGAGCCCTAGGCAAGCATTGGGGATTACTAAGTTGACTACCGTGCTTTGGGCTCTAAAACAGGGCCAGGAGGTGTCTGAGGATTACTCGGGATCAGGGCCTCTAGGTGATCGAGGTCCTGAGCATGGACTTACATTGAAGGACCTTAGAAGGATCTCAAAGAGGTTGTGATAGATCAACATGTTTTTTCTTAGAGGTTTTGTGGGAATCATGCGGGGACATATAAAAGCCTTCAAAAACCGTTGGACTGTGTAATTTTTGGTGGTCCACCTGCAGATCTCTGGTTATCATCGAGCTTGCTATCTATCCCCTAAACCCTAAACCCAAGCCCCTTCATAAAAGGCTGGTCAGGGCTAGTCGTCTTTGTGGGGCCCTGCTTTGAAATTCTAAGCCTTCGAGGTGGGGAGCCGGCTTCGTAAGCTCAGGAACCCAGTGCTCTAAACGGTAATGAAGACCCTGGGCTATTTAAGGGTTATATAAGGGTTATAT